AGGAGGGGGAGGAGGGGGATGAGGGGAATTTTTCTAATTTATCAGAAGCCCATATAAACTTCTTTAACATCTTAAACTTGTTAACAGAAAACTGTAGACTATAAAATGTTTTTTTATTCTTATTTACGTTGTTAAATCGACCAAAATAAATTACGTTTTAATACGTTTTTATTTGATAAGAATGTTAATATGTTGTTTAGTTAATTTATATTGAAATAAAAGGAATTGGGTATTTGCCACAAACTCAAATTTTCTAATTTCTATATCTTCACAACCTTATATTTCAATTTTCGTCTAAACAAATATTTTGAAATTTCAATTAGATTGGGTTGCAAAAATGCAGGCATTAATTAGTAAATCAGAGTTCGTGGCAAAAAACTCAATTTCTTTGTTGAGAATAATGTCTATCATAAAAAACTACATGTATTGTATGTATATTTTATGATTGTCATGTTTTTATGTAATACATGGTTTGCATGTACAATAAACTTTGTTCACAACTGCACTTACATAAATTTACGTATATATATATATGTAAATGTACATATATATATACATGTAAATGTACCTCAATATTTGTCATTTTAATAAGTTGAGAAGAAAGCAAGCCAGGCAAGTAAAAAAAATCAAGAAATGAAGTTTTTATTTCTATTTTGAAGTTTCTTCAAAACAATTTTTTGATAAAGTTATTATTAAAAAATCTGTATTAAATCTGAATATTTCTGAATTGACACTAATTACATTTGTGTACTATCATGAAGAAAAAATCATTACAGGAGCAAGAAACGTTATTTAAAATAGCCTTCATTTAAAAGGTGTCATCTGCGATTTACACCGGTAAGGTTAAAACTTTGAATTTATTTTTAGAAAACCATTCGTGGATTCCTAAAAGAAAAATGGTCAATCCTAGTCCGAATATGTAAAATGAAAGGTTACCTAAGATAACGTTTGTTGTCCCAAATTATAAATTATCATAAAAACTATAATAATACATATTTATGTTCAAAAATCTACGACGTTTTTGTAAACATAAGGTGTCAGACTTATCCCAGCGATGGCGTAATAACTACCATAACTTTATACAGTTTTTTGCATTGTATGTAGTAACGCTGGTTTTTTAAACATATTTTGAATTTTCACTTGTGTGTCAAATTCTTCTCATGCAACGTTAAATATCTCGATCAGATTGGCATAGTTAACAATCTATTCTGATTTTGTTTGATTTCTCGAAAAAACCTGCATGATGAACAATCTACTATAGTAATGTTTGATGTCTAGAACAAATTGTGATTTATAATTAACAATCTGCTCTGATTTTGTTAGATTTCTCGAACAGACTTTGAGACATGATGAACGATCTACTCTGGTATTGTTAGATTTTGCGAACAAACTATGAAGCATGATGAACAACCTACTCAGGTATTGTTAGATTTCTCGAACGTATTGTATACACTGTTCTGATAATAATGATAGTAGCTAGGACCCCAGCAGTAAATACTAAGGATAAGATTGGAACTAACAACCCTGATCCTCCAGATGTATGCAGCTGGGAGGATACTTCACCTGAAAACAAAATAAAAGGTTAAAAAAATTAAGTCTTTACCACAAACTCTGATATTCTAATCCTTATATCTTTTCAGCACAATATCTTAACATCTTAAACTTTGTATATTTCAAAGTATGAATTCTGTCAAATAAGTTCGAATATTACAGGTTTTTATCATCAGGTTGGAAAGATATAGGGATATAGAAAATATGAGTTTGTGGCAAAGGCGCAATACCTTCTGTATCGGCTTTTCTTCTAGAATAAATTTCGTCTTCCTTTTCAACAATTCTATAGTTGACACTCTAACTTCAATTCAAAATATGTAATACCAAACTTCTACCCATTACCCATTATACGAATGAGACGAATAATAAAGTCGTATTTGTTGGCGAGTAACCCTGCATAAACTATTTGATTCTTTTTAAAATTCTTCCAGTTCCCCACCAATATCCCCCCAAACATCCCCATTGTTCTACCCCTCCCTGAGCCATTGAACTCTTAAAAGTTTACCTTCTAAAACATGTACATAGATTGTAACGGGTTGTATATCATCCGGAGCACACATGTACTTTCCTACACACCAAACCAAACCAAACTTAAAACATTCTTCAAACCAAACCAAATATTTTCCATGTTCTGATACAGAGAAAATTTTAATATATTCCTCAGATTTTATATTCATTATGTCGTCTTTACCCAGAATACTGGCTCTAGGCTCTAAATGTAAAGTATAGATAATATTCAGTATACTTCCGGTTTCAAGGAATATGTCGTCTTTACCCAGAATACTGGCTCTAGGCTCTAAATGTAAAATATAGATAATATTCAGTATACTTCCAGTTTCAAGGGGAATGTCGTCTTTACCCAGAATACTGGCTATAGGCTCTAAATGTAAAATATAGGTAATATTCAGTATACTTCCGGTTTCAAGGAATATGTCGTCTTTACCCAGAGTACTGGCTCTAGGCTCTAAATGTAAAATATAGGATATATTCAGTAAAATTCTAGTTCTGTTAGATAAAAAATCTAAGTTTAAAATATCAGAGGTTTACGTAATCAGGTTGCAAAGATTTAGGGAAAAGAAAGTTTGAGTTTGTGTCAAAGGCTCAATTAATTTAAATCTGATGTTTTATTTTTATTAAAAACTTAATATCTGAATTGCAGGTAAGAAGTCCAAAACTTTTGAGCGGGAGCGCTGAACTTCAGCTACTTTACTCTATATCTACTGCACAAACTTTTAAATGAGATTACACAATCGAGTAGGAAATGGAACAAAGGATTAAGATTTAACATATTCACCATTAGAGTTAGTAAGGTTAATTTTCACACATATTCGACATAGTAAAGTTAGTTAGTTAGGATATACACTATGATTAAACAATGTATTCCGAAATGATGTTTCTGTAAAATGGATTGGCAATCTGGGTTCTTTATGTGTCTATTCAAAACTATATTTCAACAAAAATACACAAACTTGCATTTTGTGATGAAATGGGTTCGAAAACCAAGACGTTCAAACAGTAAATACCTTCTGCATGCGGCGCGAGGTCGGACAGTGTCAGTCAATTTACAGAAACATCCGATATCATTAATTATCATGCATTCTGAACACTTTCCGTTTTTTTTTCGAGAACACTCCTATTAATTTCTAAAAAAGGTGTTCACACTTCAACCACTTATTAACCTTGTGGGACCTGGCTTGCCTCCGTTGGTAAAATAATTGGAGAATCTGCTGGATAAACTTCCTTTCTTTTTACTGGACGATTCCTCTCTACACAGTACATAATTTAATAAATATTCATTTTGTCAAATGCTTTTTTTCAGTCCGTTGACTTAAGGCAAAAAATATTATTTAATTAATTAAAAGTAATTTTTAGATTTTAGGAGAAAGCCTGCTTAAAAAGAACATTGTAAATTTAATCTGTACATTTTTTTACGTAACTCTTCATTTATAGAGTGGCGCGCATGTACGATTCAGTACTGTACCCTTTAAACCTTTCTCTGATGAAGGATGAATGCGATATCATTAGTTTTCTACAAAGTAATTGATTTTTTATAAAATATATGAAGAGTGGGTGGATTTTAAAAGATATATATTTATTAGTTGTGAAATATCAATATAGAATTAATAACTTAAATTCTAATTAACGGCGAAGATAGTTTGAAACTTAATTATATCCTTAATTTTCGTATAATAAGCTGCGAACTTAATAAAACTGTCACTGATCCAGCAAACTTTAGAGTTTCTTTCTTTTCAGGAAAAGAGAAGACCACATTTTCATGGAAATAATTAAATTAATATATTTATATATTCTCTGCATAAAGGAAATGAGTCTTTGCCACATGCTCTGCCTTTCTAATCTCTATGTCTTAGCAACCTAATTTCGTAAATAGATAAAATAATCTAAGTTTGAATTATAGACGGTTAACATCGTCAGAGCTGAAAACTTTAGAATGGGATATCTTAAATCCCTATCGGTTAATTAATCTGGAGATTAGAACACTGGGAGATCAAGCATTCATTAGTCTCGAGATTAAGAAAAAGAGCAGATCGGCCATGAATCCCAAAATCCATCAAACAAAAGTTCCCAGCTCTGGTTGCACAGTTAATGGGATTAGAAAGTTTGAGTTTGTGGCACTCTTTTTCTTCCATTTCTGATCTAGACTTAATCAAATCATGATTTCTATTCATATTAAAATACATATTTAACTGTAAGCTCTGTATAATAAATAAATTTATCATTTAGTTATTATATTCAGTGTCTTTCAATACCCATGTCGAGGATTTTTTTTCGGCTGAATTAGGCCATGCTAGTGCAGGCCGTTTGCCGTGGCCAAAGCCCATGGTGGATAGGGGACAAGTGCTGGTGCCACTAGCTTTAATTACAACCTTGTATTTGTTTGGTATTTTGATTTATAATATTTTTAATATTTCCAAGATTTACACTGGGAAATTCTTAAATTGTTTATTATAAAGGGACAGTTTTAAAACCTGTTTGAATTTTCAAATTTAAAGGATTAGATAAATTTTTATCCATATCAATTTATTTTCGATAAATTATTTTTTCGCATGCTTTAGAAAATATTTTAGGATGTTGCTGTGGGTAGGACAGGCTTGGGGCCAAGTGATATTACCCACTTCAATATGTACAAACGCACAATTGTTAACTAATTCCTGAATTCTTAAATAGAAAGGGATCAGAGCTGAAAACTTTTGAATGAGATATCCTTCATCCCGATCGCTTAATCTAAGTATCTAATTACGCGCTTTTGACTTTCTTTTTAATCCTCTCTTTTGGATACACCTACTGTATAAAAGTTACGTTTGATACCTCAATTACAGATACGATGCTATATAGATTGGACTAATATCCGGCTGGCTTTTAGAGTATTTAAACAAAACAAAATTTTATCATGTTGATATAACATATTTTATATCATATTTGAGGACAACAGTTCTTTTGAACGTTAGTCTTAATTAATCCTCACTCTAAGAAATTTCAAATTTTCATCTAACAAATTTTGTTGGAGCACCTGCATCTAATACACCTTAGCAGAATCATTCGTCAAATTTTGTTAAATGTATTTTCAGTTTTACAAAACTTACAATCGTGCAATTGATCATTAGTCCAATTGATATAACACCACAAAGGCGGAAACATTAAAAACCGGTTTTTCAGAAGTTATAGACCGCATCTCTAAACTCCAGAAATTAATCAGAAAGCTAAAGTAATTTTAAGATAGATGAAAAGAGAGGATCAATCATTGATCTAGATATCCAGCTCAGTTCCATATTTACCTACGATGTTGAGTGTAACAAAGAAGCTGATGACAGGAAGAGCGCTGACCTGACATTCATAAACTCCACTGTCCTCAAGAACAACCTCTCTGATCAAATCATTAAATTAAATAATTTGGAGACTTCAGTTATTTTTGAAAAGAAGTTGAGTCTTTGCCACTAACTCTGATGTTCTAATCCCCATATCTGTTGCAACCTGATGATGAACACTCTTGATATTTTAAACTTAAATTATTTGATTTAATAGAATTTTTAGTTTGAAATATCTAAGGTCTAAGACAGTGGATTGTTAAGATATAGGGATTAGAAAATCAGAGTTTGTGGCAAAACTCGACTTCTTTGGAGATTTTTGTTATCTTCTAGTATTCCTTATAAGTACAGTGGAACCCATGAAACTGTGGAATACTATGACGTCATTTAAGCAATAAGGTTGCAATATCTAACAATAAGGTTGCAATATCTAACAATAAGGTTGCAATATCTAACAATAAGGTTGCAATATCTAACAATAAGGTTGCAATATCTAACACAAAATCTATAAAAAAAATTGCAATTTAAGGACGTTTTGACACCTTAAAGGCGATCCAATCGATCCAGAAAATTGACTTTTCATAGCAGACTGGATCCATGTGTGTTTGAAGATGTTATATTTCAAAAAATCATCTCATGAAGTGAAATAGGATTCATACCTTAAATCTACGGAGTCTCAGGGTCGTCTTAATTTCCGCAAAGAAAATGAGTCTTTGTCACATACTATAATTTTTCAATCCCTATATCTTTGCAACCTGATATTGTAAACTTGTGATATTTTAAACTTCGATTACTTTTTCTATCAGAATTCATAGTTTGAAATATCTAAGGTTTACGACATTGGGTTGCAAAGATATACGAATTAGAAAATCATAGTTTGTGGCAAAGACGTGCACAATTCCTTTATGGGCCTCGCCATAATCTTTAAGCATTATTTAAAAAGGTAGTATACATTATTTTCATATTCTTTTCAAATGCTTATTCTAACGTGCACTGTCTTAAAATGGCACAAAGACATCGACTCGTAAATATTCTTTCAGAAGTAGCGCCATAAATGGACGGGCAAAAAGAGAACCTGTGGACGTGCAGATGGAGAAAGGAGAAAAAACACTTGGTATTATTTTATTTTATGTAAATTATTACTGAATTTTATCAGTGAATATATAAATCTGGAAATAAGTATATTTAATGATTTATTTCCTGATAGATAATATCCACGCATCCTCTACTTCAGAATATCTAAACAAGATCATTACAGAAAACGCAAAAGGATTTAAAGATATATAAAACAACTTTCCATAAAGTAAATAAACAAAATCAAGTTTTCAAATATCTATATCTTTGCAACCTGAAAGTGTATATCTTTGATATTTAAAACTTAGACATTTTTATCTAATTTATCTAGTTCATTATAGTTTGAAATATCAAAGGTATAAGACATCGTGTTGCAAAAATAAAGGGATAAAGCTTGCGGCAAAATTTCTTTTTTTTAAAGTCTGTTGATATTTGATCTGTACGATAATGTTTTCTATTTAAAACATGCATCCAAAAAAATAGCTTTCTTCATTTTGTTATTTATTTTCTCATTATGTCGATGTAAAATCAAAACTAAAGGAGTTACGAGATCAAAAAGTTGCACTAATAATTTCGCATAAATGTTACCTTTTTCTTTGTCTGATTGCACAGTTTGGAATTTTTTTATGGATGAAGTTTTTTTTTTAATTTTTAAATTCCTCATGACGAAGACCCATTTAGAATAATGTGTACAGTCCTTTTCAGCCCAAAA